GTCCCTGCGCCTTCCCATGGCCGGCCTTGCACAGTGCGAGCTCCTGCCGGGAAGCCGAGTGTTCCTTCTGGTAACGGGACGGGACTATTTGATGCTTCACGTACGAGGGGAAAGAAGGCTTAAGGATGTGATTCTCCTTTCTAAATCTCGGAGTTCCTGCCTAGCAAGGAGCTGAGGTGAGCAGTGTTGTCATCTCCATGGGGTCTGGGAGGAATTTGCACATTGTACCCAACTACTGTATATCTGATCAGAAAAAGATGTCCCCATACCCTGATCTCGTGCCAAACAGTAAAAGGTGATTCCTTATGTTAACAATTTCAGCAGAATGGCTTATTAAAACCAGATTTTAGGGTATTATAAAATGCTTAGAAGCCCTTTAAAATGTCAACTAGGATCCCCAGAGACTACGTAAAATGTCAGCCCAGCTCAAGCGCCTGTTTTAAGCAGAATGAATTAGCAGCATGCTGTCGGAGGCTGTTATCCCAAACACTCAGCAAAAAGGAAAACATCAAGCTTTCTTTGTACTTCTGGATGAAATGGGCCATTCAGGACGATCTTGTGGATATTTGAAGATCACTGATTTATTTAAAGCTATGGCTAAATCTGGAGATCTAAAAAACTGGAGTGTTATTTTGCCCAAATATAAGTAATATATCTTTAATCAATATAATTTCATCAAAATGACCAAAAATAGCACTTTCCTGTAGCCTGTTAGGACGGGACCACGTGACTGTCCTTTTCACCTTTCCAGAAGAAATTGTTAGCCAGTCATCCCTTTTCCACTGCTGCTATCTTTCCCCAAACACGACTTTATGTCATCAAAAGTGTTGGTCTTATTCTTAGAATGATGTAAAGATCAGTGATTTTTTTCAGCATTTAGATGCATGAATTTGTATTTCATCTTATTTCTGAGAGCAACATGAAATATGCTTACATTATTTTATCTTCTAGAGTTTTCCCACATGAAGTATGCATATTAAAGGTAGAAAATTGAGTATGAGTGACAGAATGCAGATGGTAGCGACGTAAAACAATACTTCTGTCCTGTATCAGGTTCCTTTTTGAATTAGGCCGGGGGAGATTTTTTTAAGCACAGATATTTGCACTTTCTGTGTAAATCTAGTGTTTGTCATGCTTGGATATTCTGAGATCATATTCATCTAAACATCTCAGAGACATAGGTGTCAATGGAAACGCAGTGACACTTTACTTGTTGATTTTGCTGTTATTACAGATGCACCTGCCAAACTGGTGGCAGCTGGGGTATTCATATGGTTAATACAATCTTTTGGATGGTTGGTTCTTAAATGCAAAAAATCAAGAGAAGTGGTATAATAAACGGCTTATAATTGAGAGAATTATGTATTTCTAATAAGTTCTTAATCATTTAGGTTCAAGTTATTAGCATTGAAACCAAAAGCGGATGGCAGAGTGAGCTCTGTGTATGATATTTTTATTATTTACCTTTTACACAGAAAATTCAAGATACGCTTCTGTCGCCCAGCACCTGACCACCAGTGAGGCTACTTGAAAATAATGACAAAGACAGTGACGATAATGTCAAGTGGATAGCAAGAAAGAAGCAGGATTTTCCCTTCTATTTTTCGGGAGTTTGTCGGAGTCCCGTCTCTGAATCAGGGCCCTTGGTCCTGGCCTCCCCTCCTGTGGCTTCCGTCCCTGTGTGCGAGGGTAAGTGTGGACTTGGCTTTCGGGGAAGCTGAGGGCTGTGCTGGAAGGAGAGCGCTCCTTTTCAGCAATACAGGGACTTCGCAGAGCCCTCAGAGGAGCACTGAGACACCTGCAGCTCTCAAGGTTACAATAGGTATACATATTTTTTTTTTAAAGTGCACACTCTCCTAATTTTTTGTAAACTGCTTTCCAGTTGCTGTTATTACAGATGCACCTGGCAAACTGGTGGCAGCTGGAGTATTCATATGGTTAACGCAATCTTTTGGATAGTTGGTTTTTTAATGCAAAAAATTTTTTTTCTACCTTTAATATGCATACTTCATGTGCTCTAGAACGAACAGCCCCAAGAGCATCCTTGCCCCCACCAAGGTGAATTCTACAGATAAAGTTCTTCCTATCTGTGGGTTACAAAGGATAGGAAAGGAGGGAAGGAGACCCTGAGATTGACAGTGGCCACTTTGTGGTTTGCATCGGGAAAGAATATCAATGGTTACTACCAGTATCTAGAAGTTCATGTGAAAGCAGCCTTTTTTTTTTTTTCTGGCAGCTAAAAAAGATTTCTGGATGTTTACAGAGAGAAGATATTAGAAGAGCTAGTAAAAAGACGTTGAGTTAGGGTGGATCTAGAAATGGCGCACATTTCTCGGGAAGGCAGGATGTGTCGCCGTGGAGGAAGCCCGAGGAAGGCTGCCTGTGCTTCGCATCAGCAGACAGAGCCAGCATCGTTGTGCACCTGCAGAGAACAGAGCAGTGCTGTGGTACTCACCCAGTATCTTGCTGATGTTGGAGTTGTGCATGTCGGGAAAGGCCTGGAGGATTTTCCTCCGCTCGTCCTTGGCCCACACCATGAAGGCGTTCATGGGACGCTTTATGTGGGGCTCGTTGCTGCCACGCCCCCGGGATTCCCGATAAATTCTTGATTCGGAGACTCCAGCACTTCCTGGGAAAAGGGAGCATTGCTTCATGTTAGTGTGAGGAACCCCGGCAGCCTGCCTCCTGGCATCACTGCCTTGCAGCCTATTAAAATATGTGAAAACAAAAAGTACTTCTGATCACCGTACTCGCAGTTCCTCAGGCAGATGCCTGTTCATGACTGTGGTGTGCGATAAGCCCTGTGCTAGCAAATGGCGTGTTTTGTGTTTTAAATGCATTTCAATGGAGTATACTTCGCTTTTAGGTTCGGGGGCTCACAAGGGAGTTGATACATAATTTTTGATGCAATTTGGAAAGAGAATAGGTTAGATCAAGTCATGCCAGCACTGTGGGAATATTAGATAGATACAGTAATGAAAATGGTACAGAAAAGAAGTAACAGTTAAACGTGACCGTAGACTTAGGAAACCACTATATTAAGGTAAGCATCATTGTAGACTCCTGTCACTTTTTCCCATGGAAAGCTAAGGTTTCACCGACAACAAAACAACCCCCAAGTCTCAGGAAGACCTTTAGAAACTGCTCCCCTCGCCTCACTTGACTCCTGAGCACGGCTTCACAAGCTTACTGGTTTCCAGGAAACTGGAGTTCAGGCAAAAGAAATAAGGATTGCCAGCAGAAAATACAGAATGCTGGCAGCTGCTTCCATTGGCTATCATTCCTTTTAGTGGCATCTACAAAGTTTGAATTCCTCAGGGATTTCTGGAGCTTGTAAATCAACAAAGGCACTATTTTTCATTTCTCTCTTCCTATTTCTTCTCCTTTCTTGACTTGAAGGATTAAAAGGCATCCGCCCAAATTACTCAGACGGGAGGACCTTATAGCGGCAAACAAAAACCGGAGCCAGGTGGTTGGTAAGCTTTCTTCTTATTTCTCACTCACAGCACACTCTGGTCTGACGAAGAGTGGAAAAATTTTGCACATAAGCATGACTGAATTTAATAAATAACAGCAAGGAAAACTTTTGATGTTTTAATGTTAATTACCATGGCTATATTTTTATCGTGCTAACACAACTTAAAATTTATGAAATGTGTTATTACGAGCAATTGTGTTTTTATTGACAAAAATGAGTGCTAATCTACAGCAGCATCTTTCTAAAATGTGTCTGTAACTGGCAAATGATCACTTTCACATCTGCCTCCCCTTGTTCTTCTACCTTACAGCAATAATAGCAATAAAATGAACATTATGAGACTTCATCAAACCTAAACAGGCTCTTTGTAAGCACTTAGGCCAGGTTTATCTTAGCCAAGTGAAGTAGAAAATAGAAGAAGCTGTCGAGATAAGTAGACCATAAAAACACAGATTGTTCTTGCTTATGCCGCTGAATAAAATTCAGTTTAGATCAAATCATGCTGCTGAATATGCAGATTTGGCCTAGACCTTTCGCTGCTGTAGACCTGGCCTACAGCAGACATGCTGAAAATCTCGGGGATTCCACCGGATGCCCTCTGTCTGTAAACTCTGCTTCTCCCCAGTGTGCTGTGACGTGGTCCTGTCTACTGGAGGAGAAATTACTCTGTGATTTGCACCGAGGCTGGCAGCGATGCCCCCGAAGGAACTCTCAAAATGTATGTATGTCTTCTGATAAGCTAAGTAACTTTCCCTCCTCGCTGTCCTATTAACATTGGAATGTCAGTCGGAGCTCATCGTCACTGTGGCTGTTTCCAATGTTCAGAGATAACACAGAGAGCGGAAGTCTTGGGCCTGTGAGCTCCCCTTGGCGCTCTTAGAGTTCTGGGTGAGCTGTCAGTTGAGCTGGACAGGTGACTGCTCTAGCTAACAGGAGGGAGGGGCTCTAAAATATGAGAGATGATACTTATCCACTGAGCCATATGTTCTGGTCTGTACAGGGACACTTAAGAATAAGCTGAAAAGTGTAAACTTTCTTGCAAATTTGTTTTGGGTACAAGAACTAGGGAAGTAAGAGATGGTTCTTAAGACCTTTACTTTAGAATCATGACAGAGCTGTCAAGTTCTGTTTCTGGCTCTTAAAGCTCTGGGACCCAGGATAAAAACCATTCAAAAACAATGCTGGTTGGTCTCTTCCCCTTCAGTTGTAAGTTGTGGTAGGGATTACATAAGATTTTAGGCAGAGTACTCAGTTGTTCTTGACACATGCAAACTGCTGAGAGTCCGAGTCAGCACACACCTGCACATTCCTGAAGTGTATCTGAGCGGTTTCCACAGTCAGAATCTCCGCTCACACCTAGACCTACCGCTATATGGCTGAATTTGATGAATGACCAGGTTATGAGGTGGCTGTCTTGTCATCAGTGTTAGCATAGTTAGTTGATACCAAATAGCAATTTATGAACACTATTCCAATGTATGTGAATAATTTTTACAAACCATCAGAATCTCCACTCATGTTGAAATCCATCATTGCATGGCTGAATTTTCCTTCTTCATTCTGTTTAACTGCCAATTGCTGAGTCAGACTCTCCAGTGTTGTTTTTTCCTTAAAAGAAGAAATTTATAAAGAGAAGTCATTACAAAGCTAGGATTAGTCAGGTATATTTTTCTAATACAATACAATATTATAGTGATACATTAACTTATGAAGGGGCTAGGATGTTGATTTAGTCACCATTGCGTGATCAGCAAATGACACCATGGTCACTAAAGGAAACAACCTTTGGGACTTAGAAGGAACTCTGATTTTTATAAACCCTTATAAAGTCTTGGCACTTGGGCCTGGTATGTCCTGAGGACATATGTTGGGATCCTGGGAGATTAACTTCCCAAGTCATAAAATGCATCAGCAACAACCTGTTTTGCATTTGGAAAAGCCGCTTTATTTTTAGCCAGACAGTAGAAGTATAGGAGTGGCATGAGGCCCAGAGGAAAGACTTCCAATAGTCAGGTGACCAGATGACAGAAACAACTCACAGTAGTGCCCTCTGGTCGCTCTCTCCCCAAATACCATCTGCATTCCTCATGCAAGGGTAATGAAGATGTTTACATATTCATTGCTAATTGCTTGTCAAGTCTCTGTATATCCAACGTGAGTGCCTGCTACTTGGACCACAATTTGATTTGGATTGCTAAGCCAAAATATTGAGTTGGCGAATTATTTGAGATACAAATATACCAAAATTAGATCTGCAAAGACACTGAGTCATTTAAAAGCATGCAGTGCATGATTTGCATCTGTGCAGAACAAGGCATTACAAACCAAATTGTGTTCAAGCCAAAGATAATGCTTGATCTTTAAATGCTTCCAAATTTACAAAGTGGGTGGTTCTAGAGGGAAAAAAGTATGCATTGAAAGATGGACAACTTCCCATTGAATTCACCACCACTGCTCTGAGGATGACATGATACTGGATTTTATAAAGAAACCTGAGCAGACACTCTAAGAACTCACCTCCTTTTCTGAGGAACACAGTCACGAACTGTGCTAGTGAACCAAACCATGGGAGTGCTGTTTATATGATACAGTGTTCCCAGAAAACAATCCACCATTTAAGATCATTGTCGCACAGGTAAAAGGGACTAATTAGTCTTCCCACCAGGAACTAATAGGGTATTGAAAGTCTTACTACAGTACATATTTTATTGAAAATCTCTGACAATACCACAATTGTATAAACTGCATTAAAATTTTTCTTAGTGGCCTTGGGACTCCTGTGCTCCATTCATCCAAGTCTGCACATGATTTACTATAGAAACGCTGTTAACTTGCCAACCCATATAAAATGTGGCAGCAAAATGAAACAGACAATCATTTATAGTAGCTTCAATTCTGTGGAATCTGATAGCGTTAAAACTGCACTAAGTTATACACGTTAAGATGTAGAGCCTGACTCTGTTGTGTGTGGAAGGTTACACAGCTGCAGTGAGTGCTCTCTACGGCTTTGCCTGAAACACACTGTGGAGTGAGCTGAGTTCGAGAACACCAAGGACCCTGGCTGGACAGACCTTCCTCACGGTGAATGGAGCTGTGCACACACAGGATGGGTCCACTGGGAGAAAAGAAAGCAAGGGAGATTACACGAACATGATCCGACAGCCTCTGGACCAATGAAGACTTTATTCTTTTCTCTCCTGGCCATGTCCTCGGCTTGGACCAGTTTCTTAAGATTTAGTGGTACACAAGGCACTAACATTACCTTTTTTTCTAGGGAATTTTCCAGTAGGAAGCTAAGACTTTCAGGAAGAAGACGACAAAGCAAAAGCAACTGGAGTGAAAAGAAGATGAAGTGGTAGGTGACTTCCAAGGTTCGCAGTCGACCTACAAGGACCTGAGCCATCCTCCCAATAGACAAGAATTAGCAAGTGATGACCGGCAAACCCAGTGTCAGTTTATCCAGTAAGTCTCCCTTAACCGTATACCAGGGAAGCACAGGTGTGAAATGATTCAGTTAGTTACCCCCAAGTGGAGTTACTGTTCCAAGGGGATGCCAGTGCGAGATAACACAAGTGAGTATGGTAAGTGATGGCTGCCCAGGGCACTGGAGACTAGGGTCTGGTCTGCCCTGCCCCAACATCTCCTAGGCTCCAGCCTGGAACAGGAGGAGGGGCCACAGGAGCCAGTTACGTCACCTACCTGGTGAGATTCCAGGTGACCAATGGCACACCTGAATGGACATTCCTTGCATAGTTGGGGCATAGACAGCCCCTTTGCCCCCCCACGAAACTAGAGGAGTATAAAACTCCTCCACACGTATCTCAGACGCCCTTTTCGCTTCCCTCTTCCTTCCCCTCTGCGCAAAGGGGGCCCAGGAGCGGATTTTCCACTAAAGCTTCCATCTCAACTCTGAACAACTTGCCGATATTATTCCACCAGAGGGCGGGCGGTCAGTGGCCATCATCTAACATTTGGTGCCGGAAACCCGGGAAGGGATGCGTGGGCTCCCTAAAACTGGTTGAGCTCCCCCCCTTCCTCTCTCCACCTCTAAACCGCCAGCCCCAAGGCCTTTGCAGGCTGCGAAGGACAGATGTGAGGTAAGCCCCTCCGCCCTGCTCCTCCTGTCCTGAAAAGTATTCCCCAACCTCCTGCAGACCCCCCAAACCGTGTACACATGGTCTACCTGTCCTGAGCCCTCAGCGAGAGGGGGGACGCCCTGGTCATTGACCGGCTCCCACCAATCCAGGGCCCTCAGAGGGGCGTGAGATGCGCCCCCTACTGACTGGCCCTCCTTAACTGGGAACCAGGTTCCCCTCTAGTCTGAATTTCAAAGCGGGGACGCCTTCTTTGTGTTTAGATTAGCCGTGAGATACTTTATCAGGACAGAATGGGCAACAAAATGTCCTGAGCCCATGGCCCCCAAACCCCCTTAAGGTGTTCATTGGCCAATTTTAAAACCATGTGTCTGGGCCAGGACTTACACAGAAAATGCCTTGTCCATTTTTCAACCGTGGCCTGGCCACAGTACGTGTTGGAAAAGGCTCCAAATGGCCAGCGGAAGGCACGTTTGATTTTCAGATCCTCACGGAATTGGGTAATTTCTGTCGTCGCGAGGGTAGATGGTCTGAAGTTCGTTATGTGGAAGCTTTTTGGAAACTCCGTTCCTGCCCTTCCCTATGTTCCTCCTGTTCCACGACTCAGATTCTCCTGGCCAAGGCTAAGCCCTCCCACTCTCCCAAGGATCTCTTAGACTTTTCACCTAACCATACCTTTTCTGAGCCGCCAGAACTTTTAGGACTCCACCCAGCCCCCACTTCTTCCCCATCTCCTTCTCTGCCAGCCTCTTTACCTGCACTTTCGCCCCTCTCTGAGCCTTTGGCCCATCCACCTTGTACGTTACTCCTCCAGTCCCTGTGCCATGTTCCCCAAGGTCACCTCCTCTTTGGTCACCTCTTCTACGCTCCCAGTCCTTCTGTCATGTTGCCGGACTCCTTCACTTCCTGAGTAGCCACTGGATTCCAGTGTCACTTTTGCTTCACCTTCTGTTTCTCTGCTATGTTCCCACCACTCCCTTATTCTGTCTACTCCCATATCCTGCCCCACCTTGTTCCACCTAACCCCATCATTCTCTTTGTTCCTCCTTCTTCCCTCTGTGTGGACATCCTTGCTGCACAGAAGGTCCCTGTCCTTGCCCAAGGACCTCTCTGACCTTTACCTCACATTTTCCCCAACTCGCCCTCCCCCACTCAGAACCGTCCTCCTTCGGATCCTTCACTTCCTGCGCAGGTACCATGTTTCCAAGCCCCCTCTCTGCACTTGCTGCTCTGACGCCATCTTCCCAGCTCCCCTCCCCCTCCTCCACGTGGTAGGATCCCATCCACCATCTTGCCTTTCTCCTCCACCTGATGGGACCCTGTCCACCATCTTGCTTTCCTTCATGTGGCAGGGCCCTGTCTGCCATCTTGCCTTTCTCCATCCTCACCCTCGGCCTAACCTGCTCTCCCTCTTGGGTTCTTCTGACTTAATCCCAATAATGCCTGATTCCCTGCTGCTGCTGCAGCAACTGCTTTTAACTCTTTTTTTCCTTTTGTCACCCCCACCCCCACCCCTTATCTAAGATGGGTGGGATAAAAGATAAGCTAATTAATGTCTATAAAAAACAAAACAAAACTATAAGTTGCTAAGTTGTTCTGTAACTTAATTTAACATTTGTATATCAAAATAATCCAGTTGCTCTAATTCACTGCTAAGTTATTCCAAGCCATGAGGTAAACCCACGTGCTCTTACCGATTGTTTTACAGAGTATTTCCAGGTTAAAGCATGTCGCAGAAGGAATGGGAAGTGCTGAAGCTTTGAGAGGAATACATCTTGTATGGTTTATGTGCAATGTAATTTATCGTTGTCCTTAAAATTGCCTATAGCATTTTTCTAAATATTTATCACTGATATTATTGCTTTTTCTAATGTACAATTTAAGCTAATTATAAACCTGTGCTTGTTTCAAATTTGTAGTGGACATCAGACCCTTGGCAAATACTTTCTAGAACTTCTATTTGAGAGTTTTTACTTGACAATGGTAATTAATCTGGTGTTTCCAACTACTTTCTTCATATCTCCCTCCCTCTCTCTCTCTCTCTCTCTCTCTGACACTGAGAGACTCAGGCTGCAGTTTGATTTCCAGACCCTTTAAAGGGATGGCTAACTTGTCAGACCAAGCAGCCTAATTATCTTCTCGTAGGCATTACCCTAAAACTATCAGGACTATGCCTGTAACTACTAATTCCTAGACCAGTCCATTAAGGCATTCAGGGATAGAATTGAGCATCCCTTTGGCTGACATCCCGTGGTTGCCTCTGTGGCCCATTATAACCGGGACCCAGAGGAAGAGTAGTGAGCTAGGCATCAGGAGGCTCATTAATGCGGCTTTATACAGTAACCTGTTCTTTAGGAGACCCAGTAAGGCTAGTTAACCCTCAAGTAGCACCTGCTTGTGATATGGGAAGCCAGAATATTGGGCAACCAGCTGCAGTGATAGAAGTGGCTTTCAAAGAGTCTTGTTAGCTCTGCCAAGAGCCAGGCCACTAGAAATGGGACTGCCCTGGGGGTCAAAGTATTCCTGGGTCAGAACCATGGTGGGCCACAAGCTAGAAAGCCCTTCACTCTGCCCATCTCCCAAAGCATCCGTCGCTATGGAGGGATGGCCTGGGGTCAGTGACATCACAGGTAAAGCTGTATATTCTGTCCAGAGACACCATCTGTTCTGTAGCAGCCTCTCTTTCAGGCCGGCTCTCCTCTCTGTCCAGCCAGGTAATGGGAGTCAATGGGATGTCTCCACAGTTTTACACTTCCTTTAAGATGTCTCTTCCAGTACTCCATGTGAAGAGATGGATGGTCCTGACCTTACCTGAAACTCCAGAGTTCATGTGTGTAAGACCTTAGAAACAGTTTTTACTAGCTAGCACTGTAAAGGCTAGCCTTGAAGGCCACTGTCTACTGGAGCCCTGGCCTTACCATAGGCCCTGACTTAGCTCCTGCTAGCAGCCAGAGTCCCCATGAGCAGAGGGAGGGAAAGAATACAAGATTAGAAGCAGGCCAGACTATACATCCTGTTTTGTTTCTCAAGGTCTCACTAGATAATCTTAACCAGCTGTCATGCATGTTCCTGCCTAAGCTTCCCTACTAATTCCATACAACATAAAGCTGGGATATTGGGGCTGAGTAAAAGTGTTCCCAGTTCTCTGCCTAAGTCAAATGGACTCTCCATCCAAGAATGGCCAGAATGTGGAGTCTGCAGAGATCAACACCTGCCATGATGATCCGTGTGTCACCATAGAGGCACCCCAAAGAAGCTCCTCAAGACCAACCCTCAGAGACTACATATTCCAGTGAGCTTCAGGAGGAAATCGAGCCACCATTTTGATAAGTAACCCCTCCCTCCATTCCTGTGTCATCCACTCAAAAGTATAAATTTCTTCTAACCAAACCATTAACCAGTTTCTTTTGCAGGGCTAGGAACCTGCCATTCCTCCCCAATATGTAACAAAAAGGAAAAATGTGAGTGATTCCAACATCCCAACCTGGACCCTGGCACTGCTTCCTGCTACCCCTTTCCCACAGCTTGCGGAATTTGTGCGCTGTTCCGGTTATGCACCAATGAGATGTAACTACGAGTCTTTCCTGAGAACTTCACCGACCGTCTTCTCCCAGTTCCTCTCCCCTTAACACTTTCCTCAACTTCCAATCTCTCACTCTTGCCAGCCGGTCCTCGATTCTCACTTACCTAGGGAAGGCTTGCGGCACCGGCCTCTACAGTCTCCTGACCTCACTCTTCAGTGGATGGTAGCTCGGTGTCCAACCTGCATGGTTGCACCATGCAGCCTATGTGGTACTCATTCCTGAGTCCATCCTAGAGGCCAGTTGCCTCCCCATTCTGCCATCTGGCAGGAGAGGGAATCCCTTACCACCAAAGGGATGCCCATCACTAATGCCTCATTCACTAACTCCTCCTGCCTAATGTTTTCCACATTGTTTCTCCTAATGTTTCTCCTCAAGGAGCCCTTAAGCTCAGGTTGCCTACTCACCAGCTGCAAGGACATCAACCAGATGAGGATTGGCAGATCGATTTCACCCATGTGCTCACCCACAAAAGCTTCTCTGAGACCACGTTGACTGCTATCTTATAGACCCGGCTGCTACCACACCATCAGACCCCAATGCCTCTCTTCTCTAGCCTGGTGACCTGGTCCCTCCTCAAGACCCTCCACCCACGCTCACTCCAACCTCAGTGGACCAGACCTCACTTCGTGACCCTGACCATGCCTGTGGCTGCCAAACTCCTTGTTCACACTTCCTGGTATCATATTTCTCACCTCAAACATTTTAGTGCTTGCACCAAGGATAAACTGTCTGCCACTTCCTTGACCCACCAACTCTCCCGACTACCTCACTCCTCTCACTCTTC